GACTAGAAGGAAAAGAGGTCCTAGACGATGTGGGCAAGAAAGCTGAAGAAAAGTTTGCAGAGGATTTAGTGGAGGTACGGATTGATGAGAGGTATCTGAGTAAATTTTTTCTGTTAGGCTCATTCTTATCTGGCATCAAACGAATGGAATACGTGAACTTTTTGGTCTCCTAAATTGAAGTATTTGCATGGACGCCTTATGATATGCATGGCATCGATCCAAACTTTATTTGCCATCAACTTAACGTTTTCCCAAATGCTTGGCCAGTCATATAGCGAACTCGGTGCTCAGTCTTGTATCACGCCAAGGTGGTTGCCGAGCAAGTCAAGAACTTGTTAGAGGCAGGGACAATCGAAGAAGTCCAACACGGTGGTAGTACTGAAAAAGAATGGCAAATAGCGAGTGTGTGTTGACTATAAAACGGTCAACCGAGCTTGCCCCAAAGATAGCTTTCCACTATTGATAATCGACTAGTTGGTGGAGTTGACCACTGGTCACAAAAGATTTAGCTTCTTAGATGGATATCGTGGCTACCACCAAATAGTCATGTATAAGCTAGATCGGGAGATCACTTCCTTCACAATACCAAGGGGGTTATATTGTTAGAAGGTTTCGGGTTGAAGAACATAGGAGTGACCTTTCAAACGATGGTCACAAAAATGTCTGTCTCATTGCTTGGTGCCGTATGATGGAAGCTTATATTGACGATATAGTGGTCAAAAGCATGGCGGAATTTGAGCACCTCGACGACCCAGTTGAAATGTTTAAAATCGTTAAACGCCACAAGTTGCGACTCAATCTGTCCAAGTGTGCCCCTTTGGTGTGGAGTCAATAACTAGAGCAGCCGAATTCTTCGAAGGACGTGTAACATCTTGCTAGGATGGCAGCCACACTTAATAGATTTATTAGTCAGTTGTTAGATCGTTGCAAACACTTCTTTCAAACGTTGAAGTCCAAGTTCTTTTGGGATGAAGAGTGTGACCGAGCTTTGGCAGAGTTAAAGGCATACCTATCTTCCTCTCCAATCTTGGTCACTCTGAAGCATGGTGAAGAGCTTTTTCTTTAGTTGACCATCTCTCAGCACGTGGTCAGTGTGGTGCTTGTTAGAGTTGAGAGAATATAGCATCTCCCGAGTCAAGATATCTACCTTTGGGGAAGATCACTTTGGCGCTAATGATGGCCTCCAGAAAGTTAGCCCACTGTTTTCATGCACACACAATAGTGGTGCTAACAGAATTCCCATTGAAAGACTTCTTGGGCCAAATCCTAAAGTGGGTAGTCGAGTTGGGGCAATACGACATCAAATTCCAACCAAGAACCGTGATCAAGGCACAAGCCTTAGCTTATTTTGTGGCGGAGTTTGCCTTAGGTACTCACCCAGTTTGCCCAGTCGACCTAACTCAAGCAACTGAGCAAGAGAGAATGGCCAGTGCGGAAATAGCATGGCCAATAGCGCCTTCACATCCAGAGGAACCTTTGTCGCCTTCGACTCAGTCTACTAGCACGCCATTGGGTTTGGAATCAGTCGTGCAATTCGGTGTACCCAACGCTGCACTGCCAGGGGGTGAGATAGTCTTGTAAGTGGTAGAAGGGCAAGAAAGTAATGAGAAACCTGAAGAAAAAATAGTCGATCAGCCGTATAAAGAGTTGGAAGTGCAAGCAGGAAAGCTACATAAGGAAATTGTTCAAGTTCCAGATCTGAAGAATTTTTAAGATCCAATGGACGGTTAGAAGTTGTTCGTCGGTGAGATGAGGAAGTTTCTTGTCGATGGGCATTGAACAGAGAAGGAGCCGGACTAGGAGTTGTTCTAATCTCTCCAAACGGCCTCACAATAGAGCAAACGATCAGATTGGAGTTCCCTGCATCGAACAATGAGGCTGAGTATGAAGCATTGATCGCTGGACTAAGAGGCGCCCTGCAGTTGAGAGCAATCAAGTTAATGATCTATAATGATTCAAAGTTGGTAGTAAACCAAGTGTCAGGCCAAAATGAAGCTAGAGACAATAGAATGACAAAGTATCAAGCTTTGGTAAGGGAGGAGGTAAAAAAGTTCCAAGCCATAAGAGTGGAGTAGATTGGCCAAGAAGAAAATAGTAAGGCAGATGAACTAGTTGGGTTAGCATCTACGGTGAGCTCAACAATTCCCAACCACTTATCGAATTCTTGCCAAAACCGAGCATTGAAGAGCTCGAGGTGGTAGAAGTACACTGTGTCGAACTAGGGCCCTTTCGGACAGACCCCATCTTAATCTTTGCAAGGGACAGAATCTTACCCACTGAAAAGAAGGAAGCCAACAAGATAAAGGCCAAGTTAGAGCCTTTTTGGCTCTCTCCGTTTGGTGTCTTGTACAAAAAGTCCTTCACAGGGCCATACTTGAAGTGTGTCCATCCAAGCTCGAAGCATTTCTTTTTGAAATCCACGAAGGCATGTGTAGAAGACACGTTGGAGGGAGATCACTATCTTACTGCGCTATTTGACAAGGATATTGGTGGCCATGCATCTAGGCCGGTGAGCAAAAGTATGTTTGAAAATGTAGAAAATACCAGAAATTCGTGCACCAGATTCATCAATCAGCTAGAGAGCTTCTTCCCTTGACAAGTCCTTGGCCATTCGCATTGTGGGGGCTAGACATTGTTTGTCTACTTCTGACAGCACTGGGTAATCGCAAGTTCTTCATTGCTGCAACAGGCTACTACACGAAATAGGCAAAGGCTAAACTTTTAATGTCTATCAAAGAGAAAGACATGAAGAAATTTGTTTGGCAAAATGTGATAACTCGGTTTGGGGTTCCAAAGGTTTTGATCTCTGACAACGGCACACAATTTGATAAAAAGCTCTTGAGAGGATTTTGTGAAGAACTAAAGATAGAATTCTACAACTTCACGCCGACCTACCCTTAGTCAAATGGCCAAGCCAAAACTTCAAACAAGACAATTATGGGTGGGCTGAAAAAGAGGCTGGAGAAAGCTAAAGGGAGGTGGACTGAGGAACTCCCTAATGTGCTCTGGACATACTAGACTACTCCATGATGCTCAACCGGGGAAACACCTTTCGCCTTAGCCTACTACATGGAGGTAGTCATTCCGCTGGAAATTGGCATGCCAACCATCCAAACCGATAACTTTGAACTAGATTTGAATGGTGAAGCCATTACCTTGGAACAAGATCTTATTGAAGAAAGAAGAGAGAGAGCACTGATTCATATTGCAGCTTACCAACAAGAGCTAGCAAAGAAATACAACATGACTGTGTGCCCATAGTTGTTTAAAGTTGGTGAGTGGGTGAAGGCTCTAGTGCCGAGTAAAGGAAAACTGGGAGCAAACTGGGAAGGGTCGTATGAGATTACCGGTCTGGCTAGAAAGGGGGCATATTGTAATGCCCCAACTTTTATTATCCGAATCCATTACCAAATCCTTTATATTATTACCAACTCAATAATGACAAACTTGTGCCGACACAATAATAAATAGAAAATAACATTCCCTTTCGAAAGGGATGATGTTATATAAATAAAATTTGATACAATGCTATTAGGCTTACGTTGAATAACAATAAATAGAAGGGATTTACCCTTATACAATACATGGGATTCAGCCAACAAGCAAAGGCCCCATGGCCAACATAATAAAAGACTTTGAGTCTCGAACAATCCTCCAACCATGTACCTAAAAAGTTTGACAACACATGGGAAGAGCACAAAGCCCAGTAGTGATCTCAAAAATCCTAACCAATAGCAACATACAGATTGCTATGAGCATGAATGCACGATGACATACAAAATAAGTAATGTGATAGTTCATACCCAAGATATACTCATATAAATACATTTTTCCCAAAATCATCCTCTTTAACACAACACGATGTAAAATCACCTCTTAAACCTACCACATTGATATAAAAGAATTTCATTTAATCATTTGTTTTGAAAACACGTTCACACATACTAGTCATAACCTGAACTTACATTCCAACACACTATACACACTTGCGCACTGATGCATCTACTACCTTCCCTAACCATAGGCCCAAGGACAAGGAACACCCACAACGGGATACCAAGAAACATATATTTCTAAATGTAAATAATTGAACGTAATACATACTTCCATTTCTACCAATTTACAGCACGGATGGCAAATGATACAACCCACATAACACAAAAAGCTTTACCGGCCTCACCCTGAGGGGAACAACCCTAAGGTCACACTTTACCAGGCGCAAACCAGAAGGGAAAGGAACCTATCTTAAGGTGCCACGCTTTACCGGCCTTACCGGGAGAGAAACAGACCTCAATTTCACACTTTATCAGACACAAACTGGAAGGGAGAGGAACCTCTAGCAGTGCGCCATGCTTTATTGGCTTAACCGAAGAGAAACAGACCCCTAAACAATATCCAAGCAATAGCACAACATGCTAAACTTCATGAATACCGTACAAGTGTAATACATACACATAATTTATTCAACAATAACAATGTCACCCTCTACCGATAACTAATGACGAAACCTCTAAACAGATAAATAAATGACTCATGAATTAGATTTGCAATTTCAAAACATCAACATTACAAACATTCACATTTCCATTTCATTTTATAAAAGAGTTAAAACTCATGGTTTTATGTAAACCAAAAAAAAAAAAAAAAAGCAGTTATTCCAAACTCTCAACATTTCCAAACCATAGCTAAACCTCTTTTTGTTTAACAAATCCCATTTTAGTATACAAAACTACTAATCAGCTCAACACAACATTAATCAAACAATCACAAGACCCAATTAAATTATATTTTTAGTAACTAAGTGTTAAAACCTATCACCTACTTCACCCACTTAAACCTACTCCACTAAACCTAACCCACTACACCACTACCACCTCACCTACTCCACTAAACCCACTACACCACTACCACCTCCACTTCACCTACTCCTTACCTACTACACACTCACCATCTTCTATATATAGGAATCATGAATCATTGTAATAAATACAACATACATCAATCAATAATACATCAATTTATTTTACATGGTATCAGAGCAAGGTTAAGAAGCTAGTAATTTTGCTTCACCTGCGGGCGGCAGCCTCGCCTTGGCCGCCCGCCGGACCTCTACACATACCTTGACTCCGCTGCCACTAAACCCAATTCAACATTCACCTTCAAGATCAGAGCATCATCACCATCATCCATCTTGGTCACCTCCACCAACACACATGGGCTAAGACCAAGGCCTCTCTCTCTCTGTCTTTTCTGCAGAAAGGGCCGACCCGTCGGAATCTCGCATTTTCGAAGCCGTGCAAGTCGTTCACTCTATTCAATGGCTGATGAAGCCACTTCCTCCTTCTGGTTTGCCACCCATTGCTTAGCAACCAAACCAGCCTTCAATATCTCTGTTACCAAAAATGCATTCTTGGGTTGTTCCGAGGCAATTAGTTATCAAAAAAAAGACCCATCATCTATCCCCGATGCAGTTAACAGAGCTGGATTGATGCTACCTCTTGTTGCAAAGCCTTTGGTCGTCGATGGAAGTGCAAAGTCACATGAATTGTCACTAGCATATGATCAATACTCCCTCCAGATACTTGAACCTCCACTTGTTCTACAGGAGTTTGTTAACCATGGAGGTGTTCTCTTCAAGGTTTACATCATTGGGGAAGCTATTAAGGTTGTCAGGCGCTTCTCTTTACCTGATGTTAGAAAACGTGAGCTATCAACAAATACTGGGGTATTCCGCTTTCCAAGGGTTTCTTGTGCTGCAGCATCTGCTGATGATGCAGATCTGGACCCCATGGTTGCTGAGCTTCCTCCACGACCTTTGCTTGAGAGACTTGCCAGGGAACTTCGTCGGCGACTGGGCCTTCGGCTATTCAACTTGGATATTATTAGAGAGCATGAGAGCCTCACCATATCTCTAGCAACTTTTTACTTATTTTATAATAATAATAATTATTATTATTATTTTCTCTCCTCTTTTTTGGCAGTTTGAAAACATACTTTTCACACTCTCTCTCTCTCCACACAAGGACACCCACCATTTTGTCAACTTTCTAACCTATCTTCTTTCACCTTTTGCACCCCACTCACCGACTCCCTCACCACCAAAAGGAATACCTTTATTTATTTATCTTATCTTTCTTGTGTTCCATTTTTCACAAAAAAAAAAAAAAAAAAAAAAAAAAAATTGGTTTTTTTTTTTTTTTCAAAAACAAATCTTACTGATTCACATTACCCCCACTTTCCTTTTATTTATTTTATTTTATCTTCCTTTTTTTTTCATAATCATCCTTTTATTTATTTTATTTTATCTTCCTTTAAAAAAAAAAAAAAAAAAAAAAATCCATTCCCAACCAACTCGGTTTTCATTCCACAAACTTGTCATTTTTTCATATCGGGATCAAGCCCGATCACCATTTTACACCACAACAACAAAAAAAAAAAAAAAAAAAAAACACAAAACACAAAACAAAACAAAACCAACACAAATCGGAATAGTGGCATTTTTCTTCTCTACTCTGCCGCCGGCCTCTTCTTCTTGCCTCCATCCTGAGCGGCCCTTGACGGTGCTGCCTCCGTGTTTTCCACGCCGCCGAGCACGTTCACTCCCCCATACTCCTCCACTGCAGCATATGGCGGACCTCCAAATCGGAACATCACGGTGGCCTTCCGCTTCAGCTCCTTGTTTTCTGTCTTTAGCACACTTATCTCTGCTCGCGCATCCTTATACATGCGTTGGAGCAGAGCCAGCTGGGAGTTTAACTGTTGCACCTCATTTGTCCTGCTCTGCAGACCTACTCCACTAAACCTAATCCACTACACCACTACCACCTCACCTACTCCACTAAACCTATCACCTACTTCACCCACTTAAACCTACTCCACTAAGCCTAACCCACTACACCACTACCACCTCCACTTCACCTACTCCTTACCTACTACACACTCACCCTCTTCTATATATAGGAATCATGAATCATTGTAATAAATACAACATACATCAATCAATAATACATCAATTTATTTTACACTAAGCCACTAATTCAATTCCTTAACACATAATTCGGTTATTACATAAGTTACTCCCGTTGGATTAATTAAGCCCATAATAATAAATTAGAGTTTTTCTCCATTCTCAACATAAATATGCTTAGCTACCTCCCAATAACCAAAACACCTACAAATCATCCAATTCCAACTCCCAAAACTCAAACCCTAAAACCCTTTTTTACATGATTTCGAAAATCCATAACACCTATGATTTTAATGCAATAAAATCTACCACATTTCTATCAATAGACGAGGTATTGAGGAGGAACAAAAAAATCCCTACCTCTTGAAGCGAAGAGAAGACAACCCAAAAATCATCGACGACGAAATGACAATTTGCTCAGATTAAATGGAAGCCCTCGTTGAGCTCTACGTTTTGGTATATGGAACTAGGGGTCAAAGATGTTTAGAAATAGATGAAATCAAGGGTTAAAAAGCTTGGAAGCTCAAAAATGATGGAAAGAGAGAGAAGAGAGTGAAAAGTGAAGAGATTTGACCCAAAAAGTGACTTATAAAGATCTGATCCCGAACAGACCGCTCGAGTGATGAAACTTGCGCTCGTGCGTCAAAGACACAAGACCACTCGAGCGATGAAATATTCGCTTGAGCGTAGAATGCACACTCCCGGAAGTTCAGACATTCAAAAGTACAGGATGACCTGTAAGACCACTTGAGCGAATGACTCGTTGCTCAAGCGATGAAGTGGGAAAAAAATTTTAGAATGCTACATATATCATCTAGAAGACTTGGACGGCAAGGCTATTTCTAGGCAATGGAACGCGGCCAACCTAAAATTGTTCTACTTATGAATGTAATCTGTCTTTCCCTTTACGGAATAACCCTATTCACTCAATGTAATACGCTCATGTTTGTTAAGTCTTATTTTCTACTTCATGAGTAATAAAATGAATAGACTATTACCTTTGAAATTGTTATATTTTTGGTTTGCTGCACTCCCAACTTTCTCTTCGGTTTCTTGCACTCCCAGCTTTCTATTTGGTTTACTGCACTCCCAAATCTCACCGTGCAATTGCAGCACGGTAGTGGGGGCACCTAAAAGGTGATTTGTCCGACTTAAACTTCCTTGCTGAGAGGATTTTGCTCCCCGAGATGTAAGTTGCTGTTTTGCCAACTTTAGACTTCCTCGCTGAGCGGATTTTGCTCACCAAGATGTAAGTTGTTGTTTTGCCAACTTTAGAGCTCTCTACTGAGTTGATTTGCTCACCGAGATGTAAGTTGGTGTTTTGCCAACTCTAGAGTTCTCCATCGCATTGGTTTTGCTCACCGAGAAAAAACTTAGTGTTTTGCCCAACTTGAAATTTCCTTACTGAGCGAAATTTTGCTTAATGAAAGGAAGTTGGTGTTTTGCCCAACTTGAAATTTCTTTGCCAAGCTGAAGTTTGCTCGGCAAGAGTTGTTTGACTTAAAATCTTTTTGCCTAGTCGAAGTTTGCTCGACGGAAGGAATGTGGGCGTTTTGCCCAACTTAAAAAACTTCCTTGCCGAGATGAATTTAACTCAGTCAGAGCTGAATAGGAGTTTAAGTTTTGCTTGCCGAGCTAGATTTTCTCGGTCTAAAGGGCAAAGATGTCATCAATATAATAACAAATTACAATGACGCTTGCAAATTTTTTTGATCCATTCAAGTTTTGGAGTGGTTACAAAAGGTGGGGCCTTCAGCCCGGTTACAATCCTTCAAAAAAAAAAGAAAAAAAAAAAAGTGATAACAAGTTCATTTGGCACATGTTAAACGGCCAGATCGGTGGCTTTCTCTTTAGTTGCATCACCATCTTCTTTTATAGCATCAGGCAACAAGGCGCTGATTTGAACAGTTTCTTGTGGTGCCGCACTGTTAATTTGAGTAGTCGGTTGCTGCACGATATTGTTTGCTTGGACGGTGGATTGTTGGGCCACGCTATCCGCTTGGGTGACTTCTATCAACTTTTGTTGCACGGCGATAGCATACGCTTGCATGCATGGCGGGATGAAGTGCAGCGAAGGGTTTTTGGAAAACTTAGCCTGCCCAAGTTTTTCAGTGGCTGCCTTCTAGCCGCTTTGGAAGAAGATATCCTTGGTGGCCTCTACTTGGCATTCATAGACCTTTTTCCTTTCCTCGACACCCCGGTCTTTCGCTTCCTCGACTTTTTCCTTCAACTTGGCCCTGTGCCTATCCCGGTGCTTCTTTAGCTCGGCCAAATATCTCGTCTTCTTGGCCTCCACAGCCTTGGCCTCGTCCTCGTCCTTGTCCTCGTTCGTTGACGTCAATCGCCCAACCAACTGGTCTCTTTCGGTGGTGATGTCTGTAAGAGCATTCTTGAGAGATGCTAGCTCGGCCTCCTTCAATTTGTTGTCACTGATAACTTCGTGAAGGCTCTTCCTAAGCTCGAGTATCCGTTTATAAGCAACAAAATTCTTCTGCGTGGCCTGCAGGTAGAGGAGTCCAATACAAAGAAACCAAACAAATAGTTCACAGAATAAGGAGTAGTGGTTCTTACCAATATTATGGACTCAGAGGCTGACCTGATGTCTTTTAGGTCAGATAATTGTTTATGCCTCTTCATATCGGTTGGGAGGAGCAAGCTCTTGGTCTGATTGAAGCCGAGCGAGTTGTCCTTGTTTGCATAAATAGAGTCCAACGTGGCCATAGCACGTCTCTTATACGTCAATTTTGGGAAAGAGAACTTTTATTTTATATCTTGGGCCGAGCCAATGATGTGATGTGGTATTGGGCCGGGTTAGATCTAGACCGCGATCGTAGAGGAGATGAGCTAGGACAGGGTTGTTATTCAAGACTAGACTAATGAAAAGAAGGTTGCGTGGAAAGATTGACCGAGTTGCATCTGGGGTAGGAACGGAATGCCTTGGAAAGATTGATCGAGCTGTTAAGCCGGTTGGGAAGTTGACTTGAGTTAGCTTTGCATGAGGTCAGCTTAAGTTAGTGCGATTGGAGTTGACATAAGTGATTGTTTGGTTGGGGCATTCCACATGGCCCAATGGAGCATGGCGAGGAATCTGCTAAAAGTACGCGTTAATATCGTTTGGTAGTTTAGCCAATGATGTTTGGCAATTTGGCCAATGTTGTTTGGAGGTATTGACGCGTACATGTGTAACAAAGAGAGGGGGCAGTACAACCACACATCCAGCAAAAGACAACAGCAGTAGTGCGCGCATAATCTTGGGTTGCAAGTCTATCCTATAGATAAAGGGCGCGGCTAGGCTCTGAGGAAGATAAGCACACCTTAGCCATGCTCTCTCTTTCTCTCTCTCTCTCTCTGTGCATTCCTTCTTGTTTATCAAGTGAACTAACTTGACCGTCGAAGAGGTTTTCTGGCAAACCACCTATCAGGTAGCTTACCTTTGTTCTGTTCACAGTGGGTCAGAGTTCATTCAGAGCAAGGCAAGCTTGGTAGCAAGGCATACGGGTGACAACAAATATTTCTCCTTCATACGATACTCTATACGAACGTCTAAGGTTTAGTTTTCTAAATGTCAAGATAAATTGTATTATAATTTTTTTAATAATTTTAGGGTAAATTACAAATACACCTCCTGAGATTTGATTAAAATACGAATTGCCCCTATAGTTTTCAAATTACATTCCACCCCCTGAGGTTTTTAATTTTATAACAAATCGCCCCATTTATTAATAAATTATCAAGTCAATTAACAGTTTTTAATGATGTTAGAAATATGTTTCAATTAATAATTTAGATAATTTTATTATTGTATAAGAGAGCAATTATTAATTTTATTTTTTCAGTTAATTCTACTAAATAAATTTTTTTGACAAGAGGATATTCGTAATTTTCCAAATCACAAGGAGCAATATATACTTTAAACAAACCTCAGGGGATGTATTTGTAATTTACCCATAATTTTATGATTTTGGATCCACATCTCTTATGATGTCTTTGCCTTCCTAATTAGACAGTATAATTATGTCCGTCATAACATGTACCAAAGTTAATTTATTTCATTTTTTTTTTTTCATATATACTATTCTTTAACATTATTGTTATTATTATTATTTTTTATAGTTGGTACCAAATCTTAATGATTTTCATTGATTTGATACACGATTTATAAAATAAGACTTTGATTCACAATATGATACCCTTCTTTATTTTGACAACTATGATTTGGGCTAATTTATTATTATTTTTTTTTTTGAGGAAGAGAACTAATTTATTTTATATATGGGCAATATGAAACATTTTTCATGTTCTCAACATGATAAATACTTCTGAGATCTTCAACAGGGAAAGCAAATTTATATTCCATATTTGTGAATCAAATTTTAGGACATTATATGTTCTCATGATCAACTTTTTGTGGATGTGTAGGAGCACAACAGACGACCTCCTCTATCGGTGCAACAGGGCCGGGGAATGCCTCCTCCCAAACCAACTCAATAGACTTCTTTTTCCTATCTATATATGAGTTTGGGATTTGAATCCGTAACTGAACTTTCTCTCCCAGTTTGTGTTTGGTATATAACTGTTTGTGTTAGACACTGTTAAATGTGAATGTTAAGTATCGTGTTTTCGTACAAGTTTATGTATGTTTATCCCCCCCAAAGTAAAATTGTAAACTCGAATATGCATTACAGCTTTGGTTGAGATTTGTTGTCTAATCTTTGATATATGAACTGTTTGCCTTATGAGAAATCCTGTTTATTATATTTATTCTATCTGATATTCTTTGATTAAACAGATAGAGACTGTTTTATGGCTTATTACAGGTTTGGAGGGCAACTTGTGACATAGCTTGAGACTTTTATTTTGTTTATTTTTTGGAGGATGACTCTTGTAACTCCTTTTATTTTAATGATGGTCACTTTGTTGCTACAGAGAGAGAGAGAGAGAGAGAGAGAGAGAGAGAGAGAGAGTAACCAATAGGAGCAGTAATTATAAAAACAAAAAAAGAAAACAGAAATCATAGATATACAAAAGAAATTCTGTTCATAAAAATGTATTATATGCAACCTCTATTTTTAGTTGTTGGATCTGAAAATGAATATGAAACATTTGAAATTTGCAAACGGGTAATGCTAATAGCATCTGCATAATCTCTTTGAACCACTCATTTTTTAAACCTCTAATAACTAATTTCAAATTTTATAAAATTTCTTTTGATACCAAAACTATCTCATACCCTCTTAAAACTCTAACCTTACTCATTGTAAATATATATATAGATATATATTTATTTATTGAGCAAATTTCCCTTTACCTTTTGTGATTTAAATTATGTGCAATTTATCTTTTAACGTTTGGAAATGATCACATAACTTCCATGTGATTTATGAACTGAAGCATACTGTTAAGCATTCCGTCCAACTTTTTAAGTGTAAAACACGTGATAGACATGAGGGGATTATATGTTCATTTTCAAATTTCAATGCGGTAAATCACACAGAATAAAATATAGAGAGTTAAAATGCACTTTGCCTTTCAAATAAATGACAAAAATACAGTGATATTTTAGTCTTTCTTATTAAAATGTTAACGGGCCTAATAATACACTTCAGTTCATAAATTACAAAAGAGTTGTGTGATTATTTTCAAACTTTAAAAGGTTAAATTGCATATCATCCAAATCATCATAATAAAGTGAAATTTGTACTTATTTATTTTTAATAATAGAATTTTAACATAAAGTGGAGAAGACTGCCACAACACAAATATAAAATTCCAACATCTATCATCAGGAACGCTAAGGTTCGGTCTGTTTGGCCGCTTCAACGGTTAGACTGGAGTAGGAGGGATGTGGGTCTCACCCACAACATGTTTGGTGTTGATTTGGGATGTTGGCTTGCTAGTGTGAGCGGCTTAGTAATCCCCCTCAGTAGGGGAATTAGCTTAGTTGAGAAAAGTGTGGGATTAGGTAAATAGTGAGCGAATTGGGTCTGTAAACACAAATTTCGTATCCTGCAATTAAGACACGGAATAAATGCACAAATAATTAACTTTATTTGATTATTATAAATGGGTATAACTCTCTGTGGTTTCCTCTATTACAAAAGAACAAATCCTCTGATTCGATCTCCGAAATTGGCGTAATTCAACGGCTGTAAAAGCTTGTTGTTGAACTAGACAAGTTGATGAATTTCTTCAAGTCTTTGAATGGAGAAACTTGGAGATGAAAGGCTTGATCTCGAGCTTGAACGGCTTGATCTCGAACGAGTCTTAAGATGATCTCTTTGAAAAGAGATACCAAATTTGTATTTGTAACTTGAAAGGATTGGCACAAGTTTGGAGTATTTGATAATCCTTTCTTTTAAGTTTGAGGAATTTTAGAGAGAATTTTAAGAAGAGAATCAAGCAGAGTCTCGAGATTGTTTAGAAGCTTACAAGACCATTAGCCAAAACATTTCCCTTTTCCTCTAATGAGAGCCTTTATTTATAGGCTTAAGAGGGGAGGGTTAATTTTGAAAACTCCAAAATTGACTCTAATTTCCAAGAAGCAAGCAATTTATTTCTTATTTTATGGACATGATTTGCATTTAAATTTAAATTTGAATTATTTCACTAAATTTTGATAAAATATTTTCATAGGCCCTACACATTTGGGTTGACCCAATTGTCAAAATAGGTTCATTTTTCTTTTGGTGTGACCCATAATTTAAAATGGATTGAGATCCATAATTTTAGTAGGATTCACATCCATTTGAAACAATTTGACCATCTTAATTTTGACTAATCAAGAAAATTTCATTTATCTTGATTAAGTAGACAGTGATCAACACACGTAAAAATTTAAGTGTTTACAAATTGCCCCCACTTTAAAACTCTAGTTTGATGCTTGCTTGCTAATATCAAAGGTGGGATTTGAAGTAGATTGGTCATGTTCACTAGGTGAGGATTTTAATTTGGTCACTCGTATTTTTTATTTTTATTTTTTTGCGTGAGCACTGAGCAGCTCTTTATTCCTAATATGGAAATAATAATAACAATCATACTAGGGTTTGCACAACCTATATGCATCACTGCTCCCTATTTAATTGATTGATGATGAGTTCCTTTAGACGTTGCTACCTTTGTGTTGCTGTTCTGCTCATTAACCTTCAATTCAAGCCACATTGATAAGCTGCAGTAGCTGCTTTGTGCCTGACAACAAGAGGCAAGGCTTATATATATATGTCATGGTGCCTTGTCATTTAGTGGTGCCTTGGCACTTTTTAAATTATTATTATTATTATTATTTTTTTCTTGTGTTGTCAGGTTGCCTTTCTTGTGCCTTGCGTAGAGTGATATATATATATATATATATATTTAAGTGTGCATGATGTCATTTTGGTGTGATATAACCATAAATTCCATGAATACTGTTCTTTACTTATTTGATTGCATCATCAATCTGAGCACTAAACGACTTTATTTTTTTTTTTTTTTTTTTTTTGACAAATTGTATTTTATTATTGTCCATAAGAATAATGATTTTTTTAAGAATATTGAGTAATATATCCCATTACCTTTTCACCATAACTGGCTATTTTAACTTATATAGAGGGAGAGGGATGAGCCTATCGCGCCTAGATATTGGGCTAGTGAAGTTGACACTTCCACCACCACCCATTCGACCGTAAGTGATTAGTTTTGACTAATGTAAGGGAATGTGCCTATCGAGCTAGCCGCTTGGATATTGGGCTAGTGAAGTAGACACTTCCACCACCACCCATTCGACCATAGGCGATTAGTTTTGATTTTTGTGGGGGAATACGCCTATCGAGTTAGCCGCTTGGATATTGGGCTAGTGAAGTTGACATTTCTTCCACCACCACCACCCATTCGACCATAGGTGATTAATTTTAACTTTTGTGAGGGGAATGCGCCTATTGAGCTAGCCCGCTTGGATGTTGGGCTAGTGAAGTAGACACTTCCACCATTACCCATTCGACCATAGGTGATTAATTTTGAATTTTGTGGGGGAATGCGCTTATCGAGCTAGTTGATTGGATTTGGATACTGAGCTAGTAAAGTAGACACTTTCACCACCACCCATTTGACCATAGGTGATTAGTTTGGCTCGTGTGAGGGAATATGCCTATCGAGCTAGCCGCTTGGATTTTGGGCTAGCGAAGTAGACACTTCCTCCACCACCCATTTGAACATAGGTGATTAGTTTGGCTCATGTGAGGGAATGCGCCTATTGAGCTAGCTGCTTGGATATTGGGCTAGTGAAGTAGACACTTCCACCGCTACCCATTCAACCATAGGTGATTAATTTTGACTTTTTTTTGGGGGGAGGGAATGTGCCTATCGAGCTAGTCACTTGGATATTAGGCTAGTGAAGTGGACACTTTCACCACCACCCATTTGACCATAGGTGATTAATTTTGACTTTTATGGGGGGAATGCGCCTATTAAGCTAGCCGCTTGGATTTGGATATTGGGTTAGTGAAGTAGACACTTTCACCACCACCCATTCGACCATAGGTGATTAATTTTGACTTTTGTGGGGGCATGCGCCTATCGAGCTAGCCGCTTAGATATTGGGCTAGTGAAGTAGACACTTCTATCGCCACCCATTCAACCATAGATGATTAGCTTGACTCATGTGGTGATCATATATCATATATGTCTCTCTACAACACGTTTTTTTATTTTTATTTTAATTGTTTGGCTTTGTCACTCAGTGATGGTGTACTTCAAGACTTTTAAGAATGGATACTTAACCATTCTCGAGGACTCTAGTGACGCTATTGAGGAGGGGACTACTCTTCCAATTTGCCATCCTTTCCTTGGTGCTTAGGGCTTGAAGTTTGAGCCACTTGATAGTTCTTTTCATTTGGTACAATGGCTTGTGAGACTTCATGTCGATTGGTTGAAGGCCTGTCACACTCTAGGGTTTTATTATTAAAGTCATCTAACCATGAAGACATTGAGGATCTTAGTTCATTTCCTACCATTGGGAGTGCGGTTTGAGTTCAGAAGGTGGCATGGGGCACTATTTTCAAGGCCATAGCAGAACCTTGTTTTTGTGAAAGATATTGGGAGTGGTTGGATGATGCACTGGGGCAACATCGTGAGGTATTACAACAGGCTGGCATTTACGATGCAATTTATGCCTCATTGTTCTTGTATGACCGACTACATAGTGTTATGCAGCATTTTGTGAGCTTTGGTGTCCGTCCACTAATACCCTTCACACTTTCATAGCCGAAATGTCTATCTCGTTATGGAATTTGTGTTAGCTTGGTGGACTTTCTATTAAGGTTACAATTACGATGAAGTGGTGCCAAATGCCCAAGAGTTGGCTGGCAATATGAGGGACAAGAATTTCTTTCTTCCTGTCAGTTGCTGATATTTATTCCTTGTTTACCATCGGCTTTGTAAGGAGTCGAAAAAGAATGTGGTGAGGATTACTAGCTGGATAAAATTTTGGTTGAAGGGGAAGTCAAGTTCCATAAATGAACCAAGCAGGCTTTGAGGAACAAGACTCAACGCCCTAAGGATACTAGCAACCTTTCTGGTATTATTAACACAACTCGGTCTTGAACTGTGCAAGGGGTCAAAGTCTTTAGTGACTTGGGGATTGCTGGTGTGGCAAAGGGTGAGACTTATTTGTCAGCTTTATTTGTCTGTTGGTTATGCAAATTTGTTCTACCCCGTGGGGATGGCTACTTGATTAGACATGGGGTGTTTAAGGTTGCTAGTATGATGGCTCGTGGTCGTTC